GAGAAATCTGGTAAATCACTTCTACCTGGAAATCTGTTCTTTTCACAAGGATGTGTGACCTACTACTTGTTGTCTACTAGATTATTTTGCCATAAACTGATTTTTTCAGTTTTTTTCCCCCTTAGATTTTCTGTCTGAATAATTTTCAGCAATTAAAACCATTATATGTGCTAGTCCCATTACTTTTGTGACCCTAACGCTAGATGCAGCACATTATACTAAGCAAACAAGCTGCTATAGGTAAGGGTAAATCACATCAGATAAAATGAGCATGTCCATCACATTAGAGTATCAAAGTTTTGCGAGTCTCACAAAACCCTCATGAGACCTTATTACATTTTGCAAAGGGACGTATGCAGCCCAAGTGAGCAAAGCACCTTCGAATTACAGCTAAATACAAAGAGAACGGACATTGTACTGTTCAGTTACAGAGAGCTGAATTTAACTTAATTTAATAAAGTCCAGTGATTGCTTAGATATGTTTATTTCCATAATCCCTTGGAATTTCAAGATCAGCTGGGTATTGACTGAAAGTTCAGGGTCCAAGTGGTTACAGAGAATTATAGGAATCCAAATGAGCAGCAAAATTTGTAAAGATCTCTCTTTACTGCAGAAAAAAGTTGCTTGTCCCATGCAGATTAGCCAGTCAGGGGCCACCACTAGGTGGGCCTGTTGAGCACACTGTGTTATAATCCAATTAAACACTGCCAAAGCCAGACACATCCAATAGAATGTCTTCCCAAAATACTGGTACACGGCTATTCGTGCCTGAATTGTGTATTAAATGCAAGCATCACAATTCCAGCTCCCTGCTGTTGTTACCAAAATGTAACTGGCTATCTAAAGCCTAATTTTTGCAAACATTTGGCAAAAGTCCACTGTATTCTTGCTTACTTGCAGATACCTGACCTGCTCAGAAGCATTCTGAATGAGGCAGAAAAGGAAAGGAACCAAGGCCAGGTACACATTACAGACTTTTGCTGGCATAGACAGGGGTGCTATGAGGTGTGCTTTATGACCAATACACGTGCCAGCAAAAGCCCTTAGTGTAGATGCAGTTATACTGGCAAAACTGCAGCTGGAGCGTAAAATAATGCATACCCAACATGCAAGGAGTGCTTTGGCAGTATAGATACCAATATGGCTAAACTGGCAAAGCACTTCTAGTGTAGACCTGTCTGAGTGTACACCGCTTGCCAACAACCATGTTGATTTTAAGGGCGTAACTCTGAGCTGCTTATGCCCATAGTGGCAATGAACAGGGGCATCAACTTTTGAGAGCCCACAGAAAGAGCAAGTGGCTCAGTCAGCGCATGTGTTGTAAAAAGCCTTTGTTGCACCCATCACAGGTTGGGGCTTCAGAAGAGGGCTCGTGTTTATTCAGTGTCACATCCTGAGGTACGCCCTTGTTGAGTGAAGAGAGATGTCACACACACTGACTCAGAAGGAGCACGCTGGGTAGGAAGGGGAAAGCTGCTGTTAACACACAGACCATCTGGTAATCAGAAAAATGGCAGGATAACGTAGCCGTGAAATTCTGATTTTCCTCTAACGCCAGCCCACACGCAGGCACCAACTTCAAAGACAGCGAATTATAGGTCAAAAATGAAAAAAACAATAATATGAAAATAAGTAACCTCATGATATTACATAAGGTAGACGCCCCCTCGTTCCTACACCTCCACTTGTCTGCTGTCATCTCCCCCTGGGTCAAGCTTTGGCTCATCTAACCTAGACTGCAAGTGCCTCAGATGGGCACTGTGTCTTCGTAGGTGTCTGAAGAGCTACCCACGCTTACGATACGCGGATAACAAGACAGTGACTTGCCCAAGATAGTGAATTGCCAATATGGGAAACCAGCTCCACTGTCACTCCCATGTCATCAAACCACCTACCGCTACCATCCACAGAAACAAATGCTTCAAAATGACAGGCAAGGTCACTTAGGCTGGGCCCAGACAAAACCCCAGGAGAAAGCCCACGAAACCCCAAAGCACAACCTGCCAGCGAAGACAGTATTTCAACCCACACCTTCTGCTGTACCCTGGCAGAAGGAGAGAGAAATCCAGGCCTAGGTCTGGGAAGATAGCCGAGGGCACAGGCTATACTCCTGGCGGCTGGTATTTTTGCTGCCCGTCAGGGTACCCAGACACCCCCTCCGAGAAGGAACAAACATTCCAGCAGAGGAGACAGGGGCTCGGAAAGGCTACTTACGGCCGGGCCGTCGGTGGTGGTGTAGCGGACGATGATCTGGAAGGGCTGGTGAGGTTGCAGGGCAGCGGGCAGGGAGATGGTGAGGGAGGAGCCATACTCAGTGAAGGGGTCTACCCTGAAGACGAGAGGGCAGGAGGCTGCGGAAGGGTCGGGGAAGGTGGGGAAGGGAGGGGGCGGCAGGTCGGGCGCAGGGGGGCAGTCAGGGGAGGGACACGCCGGGGGGCTGGAAGGGAGGGCAGCGAGCTGGGCCTGGGCCCCGGGGTCAGGGCTCAGCCCCGGGGTGGCAGGCGCGGAGAGCGGGGTGGAGGCGGTGGAAGGGGCGGACAGGGGGGACGAGGAGGCGGTGGAGGGGTCGGGCAGGAGGGGGGTGAGGGCACAGGCGGAGCCGCAGGGCAGGAGCGGCTCGGCCGGCAGGGGGCCGGGGCCCGCGGGGAAGGCGAAGGCGCAGGGTCCCTCCCCGGCCGGGGCGCGGCGGTAGCCGGCCGAGAGGACGCGCAGGGCCGGGTGCGTGTCCAGCACCAGGGCGCGGGGCCGGGCCCGCAGGGCGCAGAGCTCCAGCACCAGGCAGCCGGCCAGCGCGCGGGCCGCGGGCCGCAGCTCCAGCCCCAGCTGCAGGTGGCGGAGGCGGAAGAGCTGCGAGCTCGAGGCCGAGGCCACGTCCGGCGGGGGCTCGGGCGGGGGCGGCGGCGGGGCCGGCGGCGCCTCGGGCCCGGGCGGGGGCCCCTTGCGGCAGCAGCACAGGCCGGGCGGCCGCGGAGCCGGAGCCGCCATGGAGCGGAGGAGGCGGAGGCGGCGGCCGCTATGTGAAATCCATGGGCGGGCGGGGAGGAGGGAGGCCCCGCGGCCGAGGCCACCGGGGGGAGGAGAGCCGCGCAGGCCCCGCTCGGCACCGGCCCTCGGGAGCGCCGGACCCGGCCGGCAGCACCGAGAAGGGGCGGGATGGCGGCCGCCAGGGGGCGCTGGGGTCAGAAATCCCGGCCGCGGCCGCCAGGGGGCGCCGGGGTCAGAAATCCCGGCCGCGGCCGCCAGGGGGCGCCGGAGGGCGCGAGCGATCGGCGGGGC